TTCCAGTACTGTCTGCTAAATTCAAGAAAATGTATGTATTTATGAAATAAATAAATAAATAAATAAATTACCTAAATTATCAGAATAGCTGATTTGTTGACATCACTTGTTTAACTAGCACTAGCACGCAGTACAATGTGTATCGTCTGAGAGACAGTTACAAAATGTTTTCGTCGTTGCCAATGCCAAAAAATGCCATTGTTCATTAAGTCCAAACAATGGTGGTCGAATTCTAACAACTGATCAACAATGCGAACTTTGATAAGCAGTTCTCGCTAATCAGTTCTGAACAATTATTTGTTATTATTAAAGTTTAACATTATAAAATTAACAAAAATAATATAAAACTCATATCCTGGCGAAAAAGCCACATGGCAGCCCAAAACCATATATTCCTTTCCCGTTCTCCCGCCATTCCCCAGCTTGTCGTGCATTCTTTCCAAAACTCAGGACTTTTTTAAGACGCGGGACAAATTGTTAAACATTGGGACTGTCCCACCAAAAGTGGGACGTCTGGTCACCTTACCTTAGAGGCAACACGGGAAGAGACAAAGTGGCTGGAAAGGGGGAGAACGCAGTCCAAAATGGAGAGAGAGCATGGAGGCATTGAGACGTTGCTCCCCAGCCCCCAGTGATGGACCCTAAACAGAAACTAACTGCGTCACACAATTCCGATGTGTACAAATTCCACTCACCAGAGTTGAAACAGTACCAGTCCCCAATAACACAGTTCAAGTGTCAATTACAACATATACACTATTGTATCCGTCTGGTGCAAGCCACGGTATTTTCAATCACCTGATATACACGTGAAAGTTAGACCCTAATGATAATAAAAGAATCGATGCATTTGAATTGTGGTGGTGGTGAAGAGTATTGGAAGTACCAGGGACTACCTTAAGAACAAATAGATCTGTCTTGGAAGAAGTACTGTCAGAATGCTTCTTAGAGGCTCAGAAGCGAGACTTTGCCTCGGGTACTTTGGATTGTTGTCAGGAAAGACCAGTCCCTGATGTAGGGGCTTGATTTTTCTGTATTTATAAATAAACTCTTGGGCTGCTAACCACAAGGTCAGCAGTTTGAAGCCCCCAACCTCCATGGGAGAAAAATGGCTTTCTGCTCCTGTAACAATTTATAGCCTTGGAACTAACTGCTCCAAAGGGGCAATTTTACTCTGTCCTATAGGGTCGCTATGAGTTTCATGGATAGGTAGTCAAAAATAGGAGCCCTGGTGGCAAAGGTCAAAGCTCTGAGTTGCAGACAGAGAGGTTGCCGGTTCCACAGCATTGCAGGAGAAAGATGTGTAATCTGCTTCTTTAAGAGTACAGCCTTGGAAACCCTAAAGAGCCATTCTATGCTGTTCTATAGGGTTGCTATGAGTTGGAATCAATTTAATGGCAACAGTTTGTGTAGCGGTTATGCACTGGGCTGCTAACTGTAAGGTTAGCTGTTAGAAACCATGTGAGAAAAGGTTGCTACTCCAGTAAAGAGTTACAGTCTCAGAAACCCACAGACGCAGTTCTACTCTATCCTATAGGGCAGTGGTTCTCAACCTGTGGGTCTAGAACCCTTTAGGGGTCAAACGACCCTTTCACAGGGGTCGCCCAATTCATCACAGTAGCAAAATGACAGTGATGAAGTAGTAAAGAAAATCATTTTATGGTTGAGGGTCACCACCACATGAGCAACCATATGAGTCTCGGCATGAGGGAGGTTGAGAACCACTGCTCTAGGGTTTCTGTGAGTTGGAATTGACTTGATTGTATTGAACAGTTGATATAGTGGTTATGCATTGGGCACCTTTTATTATTTGACCCTTTTGTAGATTTCTCTTTTGACAGGAAATTTGTTCACCAGATTTAATGTCTTGGCAGTTATTGTTCATTAATAAATTTACATTTTATTGTATTTATTTTTTATATTTGTATGCCTTTTATTTATTTTTCTTTAAAAAAAATAATTTTATTGGAGGCTTGTACAACTCTTATCACAATCCATACATCCATCCATTGTGTCGAGCACATTTGTACATTTGTTGTCCTCATCATTCTCAAAACATTTGCATTCACTTGAGCCCTTCATATCAGCTCCTCATTTTCCCCCTCCCTCCTCATTCCCCACTCCCTCATGAACCCTTGATAATTTATAAATTATTATTATTTTGTCATATCTTACACTGTCCGACATCTCCCTTCACCCACTTTTTTGTTGTCCACCCACCAGGGAGGAGGTTATATGTAGATCCTTGTAATCAGTTCCCCCTTTCCACCCCACCCTCCCTCCACCCACCAGTATTGCCACTCTCAGCACTGGTCCTGAGGGGATCATCTGTCCTGGATTCCCTGTGTTTCCAGTTCTTATATGTACCAGTGTGTACATCCTCTTGTCTAGCCAGATGTGTAAGGTAGAATTGGGATCATGATAGTGGGAGCGGGAGCGAAGGGGGAAGGAAACATTTAAGAACTAGAGGAAAGTTGTATATTTCATCATTTCTATCCTGCACGCTGACTGGCTCATTTCCTTCCTGTGACCCTTCTGTAAGGGGATGTCCAGTTGCCTACCGATGAGCTTTGGGTCTCCACTCTGCACTCCCCCTCATTCACAATGATAAGATTTTTTGTTCTTTGATGTCTGACACCTGGTCCCTTCGACGCCTCATGATCACACAGGCTGGTATGCCTCATCCATGTGGGCTTTGTTGCTTCGGAGCTAGATGGCCGCTTGTTTATCTGCAAGCCTTTAAGACCCCAGACGCTGTATCTTTTGATAGCTGGGCACCATCAGCCTTTCTTCACCACATTTGCTTAGGCACACATTTGTCTTCAGCGATTGTGTCGGGAAGATTTGCATCATGGAATGCCAATTTAATAGAACAACGTGTTCTTGCATTGAGTAAGTACTTGAATAGAGGCCCAGTGTCCATCTGCTGCCTTAATATTAAGCCTATAAATATATGCACATAGATCTATTTCCCTATTATTTTATATAAATATATTTACATATGTGCATGCCTGTATTTAGACTCCTATAAATGCCCTTTGCCTCCTAGTTCTTTCCTCTGTTTTCTTTGACTTTCCTCTTGTCCCACTATCATGCTCAGCCTTCATTTGGGATTCAGTAATTTCTCTGGGTTACATTGCCCTTGCTGAATTCCTACCAGGCCTCACACACCCTCCTTGCCACTATTTTTGGATCACTTGTTGCTCCCTTGTCCCTGGGTTGGCCAACACCACTTCCTTTCCCCCGCCTCCCCTCTCCCCATGTCCTCTGGAACCATCAGTCCCGTTGTTTTCTCCTCCAGACAGTTCATCCACCCTATCTTAACTAGATAGATCTGCAGAGATAATAATATGCACCAAAAAAGAAGGCAATGCAAAAAAAGTGTCCAAGGAGAACACAATGATGACAATAACAAAGAAAACCAATGACCAAGAAAAGAATAAGTTAGCTTTTAAAATAAATAAATAAAAAGAAAAATCGGTAAATAGATCAAGGTCTGACTTTTGAGCTCTTGGCATGTAACTCCAGTAGAGTCTGATGGGGTGCCACTGCTCTGGCCCCTAAATTTCCATTTGAAAACAGTGATTGAATTAGAATCGTGTTCATGTATTTTCCCTTGTCATCGCCCTAAAGCAAATGGAACTCCCACCCCTCTTAACTGAGAGAAAGTTGCCTGGGGGAGAGCAGGGCAGGCAAGGCAATTCTAGGCTAGCTGGAGCTAGCAAGAGGCTTTTGTTGTGTCTAGCAAAGCACAGCAAAATTCAAGGACGCCAGTGATTTGTAAATTTCTCCGCCAGCGAGAAAGGAGGCTGAGTGCTGGCTGAAGTTTTCCATTCCCACCCCCACTCCCCAGGCAGCAAGGGTTCTATCCGCCTGTCCAGAGAAGCCCTAAGAGTCAGTCTCAGAAACCCACAGGGACAGAGGCTATGCGTCGAAACCAACTCGTTGGCAGTGAGATTTTGTTTTGCTCGAGTGATGAATAAATGCCCCGTGATTTGGTAAGGATAGACTTGCTGGGTTTGCTATTTTGATTATTGTCTTTTCCTGTGAATCTTATTTGCAGGACCAGAAGCAAAGGGCATACTGTATAGGTGGTATCTGAGCCACACAGAAGATTCATCTGTCTCTAAGAGTGGTTTTCTGATTTGCAAGAGTTTCCGGTGACATTTTGGGGAAATGAATCTGGGAATCAATATTGAGGTTAGAAGCAAGGGCAGTCAGTGTACATGAGAAAGAATAAAGGAGTTCCAGTGAGAGCAATTGACAGGCTTCAGTGACAGGACTGGATTTATGTGTATGTTAGGGAACATAAGTGACAAAAGTTTAAGTTTGAGTCATTCTTGTGAACCATGAGTGTCATAAACCTCGTGAGGAAAATTGGGAGAGGAAACTGTCTTTACCACTCTGAACAGTCTTTTTAAAAAAGGTTTGCCCAAGGAGTGTCTTGCATAAATGTTTGGGTTTTTTTGCAGGCAGTTTTTCTTGTAATGTACGTTGTATCACCATTTTAACAAGCATCCATCCACATGCCATTAAAAGCAACAAGGCGATTCGAGCAAATCTAAGTTTAAAATAACTGTGCTGAAATTGACCTATTGCGTAAATAACCTTTCTAAGACTCGGTTTGTCTTCACCTCAGTCTTTTTTAAGTGCTTTTTTTTTTTTTAATGGCGCCTCTAACCCCTACCCCCAGAATTCATGTTAGATTGCAACCAGGCACGGGACTGCGTGCTTGCAGAGAAAGTCCAGAACTGTGTGCGTGGACCCTTATCCTCGCAGCTGGTTGCCGCGCGCTGCCGCCTTCGCGAGTCTGACTGGCGGGCACATGTCCGCGCGCCCCGCCCTCCCGAGTCTGTTGAGAAAGAAACCCGGATGTGCAGAGGAGGAGGCGGTGTCTACCCATAAAGCAGCGCGCGCTTCTTTATATACGCCTGCCCCCGCCGCAGACGCTCATTCCACGTTGGGAACCACCCCCGCTGCTGGCCTTGCTGCAGCCGCTACCATCGCTGCTTCGGGTTTTCGCGCTCTTCCCTTGCCGCTGCCGCCGCCTTTCGAGACTCCTCCGGGCTAATCTCCTCTCCGCCGGGTAAGCGTCATCCCCCGCCTCGGGAAAGCAGTGACTAGCCCTCCCAACCGCGGCGCCGCTGCGAGGGCGGCGGGACCGGGGACTCCATGCTGGCGCGAATCTCCGGGAGCGCCCCAGACGCGGGGGAGGGGATGGATGGCGCGGCGGCGAGCAGGCCACCATCTTGTGCCCGCCCCAGCGGGAGGGCTGGCGTCGCGGCTATCTCCTTGGTGGTCCGCTGTGCTGTGGCGGCGGGCCTCGGCCCGCGGGTCCGTCGCCACCGCCGCATCTCCCCTCCCTGGGTTTGGTCTCTCCCGTGGACAGCCTCCTTCGGTGTTAGGGACTTTTGATGCCCGTGTTCGAGGAGACCCGCCCACCCCCAAGGCTCCAGTGGAGGAAGAGAGACCCGACCCGAGGGGGTTCCAAACTTTCGGGCCTTGAGGCCCCGGGGAGCCTTTCCTTCCGTCCCTGTTGCTTCTCACCCGGGTGACCGGTTAGTCCTCCTCACACCTCACCCTTCCCAAAGGGACTTCCCTCCTCTGTCATCCCGTTATTGTCTAGAGAAGAGCCCTGAGGAGAAACACTGGGAGCTTGGTACCCAATTGGCAGGTTTGACCTCAGGAGACTTTAGGGGGAAAAAATGACCTCATTGTGAGGTTGTAGCCTGCTCCAGAGGAGGGCGATTTCATCGGTTCAAGTTTGGATGCTTCTGAGGTGAAAGCTGAGGGATAATGTGACAGTAAAGCAGCTTCTGGAAGTACAGACGACCTTCCTCCAAGGGATTCTCTTTGTTTGCAAAGATTTGGTCATTAAAAAAGCAAACAAAAATCTCTGAAGTCAACGTCTGCTTTTTACTGTTTTCAGGTTTGGACTGTGGGTAGTCATGTCTTTTAGTGCCATTAATCAGAAAATGGAGCCCTAGAGGTAGGGTTTTTAAGCTCCGAAAGCATCCCTCAGTATTTGCGAGGGATCCTGCTTTGGGAGTTACCATGCAAACTCACTCCCTTTCCAGCAGAAACTTTACTGAGCCTGTGAAGGCCCTGGTTTGCTTTGGGTTTTGATTAAACAAACTTCGTGTACCCTCGGTGTGGGAACCCTAGTTAAATTATTGTGTCTTGCGTTTGTGTTCTTTACTGCTTTCAGTCTTTCGGACAAAGGCCTTGGGGTGTTAGAGAAAGAACTGCTTTGAAGAGGAAGCAACTTACTGGGAGAAAACTTCCCTGAGATCATGTGGCTAGGAGTGACAGAATCAATTCTAGATCCTAGGTCTTCGGACTTTGCATCCGTTGCTCATTTCACTACTGATTTTTTGTATAGAATACATCCACAAAAATAATACACAAGCATAGAAACAAATAATACACAAGCATAGAAACCAATGTATGAGAAGTTTGTATGGCTTGCCCCCTCCCCAAAGTCATTGGTATAAAAATGTGGGATAGTCCCTGGTGGAGGGTGGGGGCCTGGGAGTTAGGTGATTACAGGGACTAGGCAAGGAGATTCACCTAATAAAATGTAAGAAATACTATTCAGCTCTGTCTTGTATATATTTTTTAAGACGTCCATTTCTTTCCCACTTTTTAATTATTGAAATAATAATATATTTCCAAGCATGTTGAAAAATCAAAGCCCACTGAATGCCTACCTGTGATTTCACCAATTACTACCATCTTGCTGTATCTGTCTCATACTCTTTGCTGAACCAAATTAAATTTAAACCAAATTAAAGCTTAAATTTTGCAGATAAAATGGCACTTGGCCCCTAAATACTGCATGGCATCACCTGTTGTAAAATTAAGGACCTTCTTTTCACTCTCAAATCTAAGAAAACAGATTGAGAATATTCCTTAATATCTAGTGTGTGTGTACACACACACACAGATGAGGAAGCTTCAAAATGTTTGTGGTAAAATAGTCAGAATTTTTCCACAAACTTTTTGAAGCCACCTTGCATAAATACTTATTCAAGTTTCCCTAATTTCCTCTCAAATGTCTCTTAGTTATTTTGAATTCGTTTCCTAATTTTGAATAGTCCCCCCCCCATAATATTAAAAGCACTATCTTCTGTATTTAACTGACAGTTCCTTCCACATGGTGTTTAACATGTTTTCTGTAGTCCAGTGGTTCTCAACCTGTGGGTCATGACCACTTTGGGGATTGAATGACCCTTATCACAGGGGTCACCCGATTAATAACGGTAGCAAATTACAATTATGAAGTAGCAACAAAAATAATTTTATGGTTGGGGTCACCACAACATGAACTGTGTATCAAAGGGCCGCTGCATTAGGAAGGTTGAGAACCACTGCTCTAGTCCCTATGAACTCGTAGTTAGTTCCAACCCCCCCCCCACCCCCCCCCCAAAATTTTTTTTTAGCTATGAAGTCGATTCTGACAGCTACCTTATAGGGCAGGTAGCTGGAAAGTCTGCAGAGCGGCTGGCTGGTGGTTTTGAACTGCTGGCGTTGCAGTTAATAACTCAGTGTATAACCACTATACCACCAGGGCTCCTCAGAGCTAAAACTTCAGTATATTTAAGGTTTGATTTTATATAAATGATTTTATTGGGTGATTTTACAGCACTTAAAACAATCCATACATATCAAGCATATGTTGCCATCATCATTTTCTTTCTACTTGTTATCAGCTCCTGGGTTTGTTTTTTTGTGGCAGAAACACTCCCCTAATTCATCCTGTGTACTTCAAGTTCTATAATGTTAAACTCAACAACCCCACTACTAATGCGTTAATTCTGCTTCATAGTAACCCTGTAGGAAATTAAAACTGCTCCTTCTATCTGCTGAGACTAGATCTCTATTTGATTATAAAACCCCATCTTTCTCTCAGAGCAGCTGATCGAGTTAAACCACCAAACTTGTGGTTATCATCCCAACCTTTAACTCATGACATCACCAGGGCTCCTTTTTAAGTTAAACCCAAAACTCGCTGCTATCAAGTCAGTTCTGACTTAATGGAACCCTTATGGGACAGTACAGCTGCCCCTGTGGGACTTTGAGATTGAAATTTTATTGGAGTAGGAAGCTTCATTTTTCTCCCTCAAAGCAGCTGGTGGCTTCAAACTGCTGAACTTCAAGTTAGCCCAGTATATAACCTACTATGCCACCAGTGTTCCCCCCTATATGTTAAGAGGCACATAAAGTTGACTTTTTCTAGGACAGGGAGGGCATTCCATTTCTATTGCTAAGTATTTTTCTTTCAATTAGCAAACACTATATGGGCATTAGCACTTAACCTGAGTTTACATGTAATAACTGCCTACTAGAGATGGGCAGTTGGGAATTAGGAAGAAGGAAGGGGGCAATTTTGGAGGAGACAAATTTCCATAACTTGAATTGCTCCCCCCAGCAGCTCCGAAGCATTGGGGTGCTAGGAGAGAAGAGGTAGAAAATAGGAAAAATCAGAATAAGAGACTGCCTCCCCTGGAAGTATGCCTAGGACCAGGAAAGATGAGGCTATCTATTCCTGGAAAGAGCTAAAATTTCAGAAACCCATCAGCGACAGTTCTACCCTGTTCTTTTATAGAAGAAATGAGCTAAAAGAAAAGTTCTGATGTGGGAGGACTACAAATTTCAGCTTCCCCCATTTAATTCCTTTTCTTCAGGTTATCTAGCCCAATCTGGCCTCTTCAGCCTAGTGTCTAATTGCTCAGCTTTGTTTTTTTAGAAGCCCTGGAGGAATTGATTACACAGGGGGCTGCTAAACACAAGGTCAGCAGTTAGGATTCACCTGCCACTCCTTCGAAGAAAGCTGGGGGCTTTGTAAGGAAGATTAATTAGCCTTAGAACCTCACAGGGGCAGTTCTGTCCCTTTGGGTTGCTATGAGTCAGTCAAGTCTATGGTAGTGAGCTTGGAGTTTATGCTCCCATGAAGATTTACTGCCTCCAAACCCTGGAGAACATTTCTAGCCTGCCCTTAGGGTCACTATAGATCAGAATGGATGCCATGGCAGTTGTTAATTTTTTAGTAGAAGAGGCTAAGCGGAAAGAAAGACACCTTGTAGGCTCCTCTGCTACTTGTTTTCTTTATTCAAGAGAATAAACCCTGCCAAAATTTTGTTGTTATGACTTGGGGGTGGAAAATACCTAAATGAAACGCAAACTTTGAAGAGAGAAAGTAATCTATATATATTAAACGCTTTTAAGTAATCTTAATTTATTTTTAATCGTATTTTAAAGAGATTAAACATTTGCAGGTTTATATTGAAAACATACAAGGGGGCTTAAAAATTTTCTGGGAAAAATTAAAAGTTAATGACATTTTTTCATGGCCGGTTAGAAGCTTAGTCCTATTTTACTATCTCAAAAGTGACTTTTCTAAGAATGGAAATATTTGTGTTACACACACACACACTTCGTTTTTTACATTGCTGTTTCAAAGAAAGACTTTAAAATAACGTATTTTCTATATGGTCATTTTAAATGAAAGCACTGGTGGCGCACTGGTTAAGTGCCCTGCTTCTAACCCAAAGGTCTATCTTGCAGTTCTGTTGTCCATGAACTTCCTGCTCACAAACAGGAGAGCTTGTTAAGATGGCATGGTGTATGTTCTCTTGCACATAGGGTTGCAAACCTTCGGACTGACACAATGGCACCTAACAACAACATACCAAGGAGGGGGCTTCAACAAGTTCAGGGGGAAATTCCATTATCTTAATTTGAATGTTGAGCCAATTGCTGAAGCGCAGCATTTTTTTCTCTTCTGCCTGTTTTGGAGTCCACTCAGAGACACTCTGGAGTTGGTAGTGTAGATGTTCTAAAATTCATTCCCCCTGCATATCTTTGATGGAGATTCGTTTCAGTTCTGACAGCTGATTTAATCTCCCATAGAATTCCAGGGCCTTCCACAAAAAGACTGAAGTAATAACCTAGAGATTACTAATGTTTTGGTATGTGTGGTGATAGTTTTGGAGGGCTCCTGTAGCTGAAATTCTATAGGAATCTCTGGAATTTTGCGTTTTAAACTAGAGTTGAGTACGGTAGTGGTTCTTTAGACCAGCACTGACCAGTAGAAATGTCTGTAACTTCACTGCCCAGTACAGTAGCCCAGTAGTCACTTGTAGCTTTTGAGTGCTTGAAATATAGCTAGTGTTCCTGAGGAGCTGACTGTATTTTAATTTATCTTAATTTAAATAGCCTATGTAATGAGTGGCCACCTTCTTGCAGTAATGTAGCTTTAGACAGAAGGTAATGTGGTTCTAGTGGCAATTAAGGATTTCTGACTTTGGGGAGTATTTACTAATGGATTAATTTGAGGTCCACTCTTTGATGGTGGTCAGGGGCCTCAAAAGGCCAGTTATAGTGATAGGCTGGATACATGAAGGTGTATGGCCAGACCCCAAAACTAGGGAAATTTACTTAAACACAAAATTCACTAAGACCTCTCGTAATAGTAATTCAGACACTTATGCCAGTTCCATCTTCTGGAATTCACATAATATCTTTTTCCTTTGGACTAATTTAGTCCAAATAATTTGCAATGGGAAAAATCGGGAAAACTTATTTTTGCCAGTCTGAGGATAAAAAAGAAATGTGAAGATAGAATTCACTGTAGTGTCCTAATATTTTAAGATCCTAATGTTTAACTTTGGCCTTTTTTGTTTCATAATTAAAATTGTTTCTAAGACATATGCCTTTGTAAAATATGATTTTGTATGTGCATGAAAATCCATAATACAAATTCCTGTTTTTGATTAAGCAATTCAAATGTTTTTTGATAAGGTTTACTGTAACAGATTTTTTTTATTGGGGGCTCATACAACTCTGTCACAATCCATACATACATCCATTGTGTCAAGCACATTTGTAGATTTATTGTCATTCTCAAAACATTTTCTTTCTACTTGAGCCCTTGGTATAAACTCCTCATTTTCCCTCCTCCCTCTCTCACGAACCCTTGATAATTTATAAAAAAAATTTTTCATGTCTTACGCTGACCAATGTCTCCCTTTACCTACTTTTCTGTTCTCCCCACCACTGACAAGGATTAATTTTTTTAAAAAATGAGTCTATGATGACATATATTCAACCCAATTTTCTGTTCCTTTTCCATTCGAACTGATGAGAAACCAGAAAACTAAAGTGAAAAAATGTATTGAACGTGTTTCTTATATTAATAATTAGATTTATTTCTGAAATATGAACAGGTCACAGTTAAAGATTGCAATTCAGGTTTAGTAAGACAGGGTGAATATTCATTTTTTTAAAAGAATACCTTTAAATATGATTTGTAATTTAATAATGGGAATTTCAGGTTGTAAATACATAGTAATTCAACCTGTTGTTTACTTGTGTTCTTTCATAAATGAACAAGTTATGGAACATATCAAACTCAAATAGTGATAATTTTGTTGGCAAACAGTTAATTTAATGAACTTCATCCTAATTACAGGTACGTTTTATAGGGAGGGAAATAGACCTACTTGCTGCTTCGTCGGGAGGCACATGGTGAGTTTGCTGGAGATCAAAATTAGACTCAAGGATTTCTGAAACTCATGTTTCAAAATTTGTTGATGCTTAGTGTGGCTCATAAAACTGACTGATGTTATATGTTGGTTCTTAGGTGATAATTTAAAGTCAACCCAGCAACTTGATGGACAACAACAATTCTCTGCAACCCAGACGTAAGTATCGCCACCACAAGACAAGTCTCTGGGACTTTTGGAGAAGAGAAGAGAGACAGAAGTAGGCACATTTTATTCTTTAAAAATAAGAATTATTGAAGCCACACGCACTTAGGTTTATTGTATACTGTTCATTTTTTACTATCAGCAATGTCAAAAGGAACTCTTTCTCATCTCTAAGAATAACTACTGTTACCACTTTAGTATTTATAACTACATTGATTTTGTATTCATAGAAAAGAAAGCTTTTTGTTAAATAAGATCATGCTATCTATATATATGCTATTAGGTGCCCTCTTAAAATTTTACTCCACCCACTGAGATAGGTTGCTTCCAACTCCTTGCGATTGCGAACTGTGCCGCAATGAACATTGGAGCACAGATGTCTGGCCGTGGTTTGTTTCTTGCCTTTTCTGGATATATGCCCAGTAGGGGGATTGCTGGGTTGTATGGTAAATCGATGTCCATAGTGGCTGTACATTTCTACAGGTCCACCAGCAGTGGATGGGAGTTCCTGTCTCACCACAGCCCCTCCAACACTTGCTGCTTTCTGATTTCTTGAATTTGGCTATCTTTGAGGGTGTTAGGTGGTATCTCATAGTTGTTTTGATTTGCATTTCTCTTGTGGCTAATGATCGGGAACATTTTCTCATATGTTTATTGGCCATTTGGATTTCAGACTCTTGTGAAACTTCTGTTCAGGTCCTTTGCCCACCTCCTCAGTGGGCAGTTAGCTTTTCTCTTCTTGTGACCATGTATTGTAGATTTTAGTAATAAGGCCTTTGTCTGATGTGTCATTGCTAAAGATGTTTTCGCCATCCGTGGACTCTCTTATTACTCTCTTTGTGAATTCTTTCGATGTACACAGGTGTCTTCAGTATGTCCCACTTGTCTGTTTGTGACTCCTCTATGTTTGTATCCTTTCCTATTTCTGATAGCCTATGTATTCCCTGTGCTGAGGTTCTCAGGTTTGTCCCAATTCCCTCACTAATGGCCCTAATTGTTTGGGGGTTTATCTCAAGGTCTGTGATCCACCTTGAGTTTATTCTTGTGCATGGAGTGAGGTAGGGGTCTTGCTTCATTTTTTCTGCATGTAGATATCCATTTTTCCAACACCATTTATTAAAAATGGCATCTGCTTCCCGTTTAATATTTTTTGGGCCCTTATCAAAGATCAGTTGCCTGTATGCTGATATTTTTATTTCTGGGGGTCTTCAGCTCTTTTCCATTGGTCTGAGTATCTGTCATTATGCCAATACCACACTGTTTTGACTACCGTGGCCGTACAGTATGTGCTAAAGTCAGGTAGAGCAGAGCTTGTAAATTTTTATGGGAGTAGAAAGCATAGTGTTTCTCCCGAGGAGCTGGTTGGTGGTTTTGAACCGCTGACCTTGAGGTTAGCAGCCCAATACATAACTACTAGGCTACCAGGGCTCATCTAGCTCACGAAATATTAATTTAGATCTTAGAGCTCTGAGTTTCTTATTGTGGCTACCATGTACTGACTACAAATGGCAAGGCAATAGTAGCTACTAGGATTATTTTTGCGTATTCTTCAAAATATTTTTCTTTTGAAAATAAGGTTTACTTCCCTTCTGCCGAAAATTAGGTAATTCAAAAATGGCAGAACTCTTCATGGAATGTGAAGAAGAAGAGCTGGAGCCATGGCAGAAAAAAGCAAAAGAAACTGAGGATGAAGATGATGATGAACTAATCTTTGTTGGGGAGATCTCAAGTTCAAAGCCAGCCATTTCAAGTAAGCGTTTACTTTGAATCAGCCTCCTCCCATTGAGTTATTTCCAACTCAGAGCAACCCTATGTAGGGGTTCTGAAGCTGTAAATCTTTACAGGAATAGATAGCCTCAACTTTCCCCCGCTAGGGCCAAGTTTTATAAGGTGTTGCTACTAATCAGCTATTTTACATGCCTCAATGCCCTTACCATGCTGTTGGAAGAGGGTTGGATTACTAATTGCTAGATCAGTGAGCCAACCTTGCCAGCCTCTCTGAGGAAGAAGGTTGAAGCTCTCTGCCCCTGTGATTCACAACCTTGGAAACCTTATACAAGGTCCCTACCAGTTGGAATTGCCTCAATGGCAGTGGGGTTTTTCCTGTTTGGAATGTCCTTTTCCCCGCCACAAGGAGTTAGAGGTAATTGAGGGAAGCTGGGGGTAAGGTTGGTAAGAACTTGTTCAAATCAGGATGGAGATAGGGCTGAGGACTTGAGAAGCAGATACACAATTAAGATACTCAATGTGAGAAAAAGGGAAAGGTTAACTAAGGGTCTGGCTTACCTGGTAGCATTGAGAGCTTGCTAAGATTAGAAATCATAATTTTTAGTATCCACTAAGTAGCTTATTGATGTGTTTGTTCATTCACAGACAAGGAAGTGTTTGCAATGCTTTGCTGAAAGTAGCAGAAGGTCCTAAATAAATGAGTTTGTGGTGATACCACTGATATTTGTGAAGACTTCTGTTCAAGAAGGTGTAAAGTAGCTCACGGGATTTCAAGGGAGGAAAATGAAACATCTTTTCCCATACACTTTTGTTTTCCTAAGGCAGGTTTATTTGCAACCGCCCCCAAAAGAAAGCATCAACAGCATGTCACTGTTTGACTACTTCCCATAGCAGTTTGTAAACTGCTGGTGAAGAGATGAGTTTTACATTACTGTCATCGGAAACCACTGGGTGGGATCTGGTGCTTTTTCTCCAGTGGTCGTGCTTGTAGTTGTTAATTGCCATCCAGTCAAATTGTACTCATGGCAACTCTGTGTGCAACATCAAACTGTGTAACAGCCACAGAATTCAAGACTGGGGCCTTTCAGAAGGAGATCACTAGCCTGGTCATCAGAAGTGCCTCTGAGCGGGTATGAACTGTCAACCTTTGGGGCTTAACCATCTGTGCCACCCAAGAGCTATCTTTTCTACTAGGGAGAAAGGAAACGTTTTGAGTGATTCTGTTTTTCTTGCCATGTGTTTGTTGCTTTGTCCCTTCTGACCAGCCATTTTCGGCAGCCCTCTACTTTTCCAAATTTTTATTGAGTTCTTAGTAATCTTGAAAGTTATGAGACTTGTATGAGTGCAAGAGAGCTACCTTAAACAGATAAAGAGACACGTCCCATCCAATATTTTCAGATTTACTTCTTTTGGCATTGTTTTGAAATCCTTTTACTTTTAAGATACTCTAGTACATTCTAGGTTCAACTCAGTCTGAAGTCTCTGATAGCTTGCCTTTCAGAACTTTAAAATACTGTTGCAGATACTCCAATCAGCTCTCCCATAATGAAACTAGGCTTTCAGGATTGTGAATGAGGCATGGGAGTTGGAGAAGGCTTGAATGTTGAATCAATATAGATTGTATCTGAATGTTTTTGGAGAAAAAATTTCCTATTATGAATGTTTCATTCCAACAATAAAGTGTAAATGTTTTCGTAGATATCTTGAACAGAGGTAACTCTGGCAGCTCATCTCAAAGGTCAATAAAAAGTGAGTCACGTAATCCAGGTACAGTACTATTGTGCTCATTTCATCTTAAAGTTCACTATTTTGACATAATTGATAAGATCAAAATATATTCAATATATTGTATAATTTTTAAATTCAGGTATTCCTGAGTTATTCAGGTCTACAAGTCAACGTTTTGGAACACCAAGTCCAACACACTTGCCTAAATCAAAATCATCTTTGCAGAGTTCTTCTGCTCAGAACCTGCCTAAACCGGTAAGTGTGTCTGAAACTACACAGTTAGTGCTGAGGGATGCTTTGACTCTTATATGACCGCTGTTAGAATCTGGACTCTCATAGCAAGTCATCATTACTTAAAGGCACCATAAGGAAGGGCACTCTGAGCCTCAGAAAATGACCTCTTCTTTATGATACCTCAGCTAATACCTCCCAAGTTATAACTGCCAGAACTAATTACCACCTTTTAATAAAATAAGTTTAATAAATTAGGGAGTTAACGTATTTAGTTTCTTGTGCCCTGGTTGGTATATTGGTTAAGTGCTCAGGGGAAAGTAAGACTCACCCAGAGGCTCCCTGGCAGAAATGCTTGTCCATCCACTGCCATACAGACTGCAGACTCGAGGACATTCCAACTCTGTCGTCACTATGCATTGAAAATGGATTCAATGGCATTCAACAGTTACATCTTTAAATTATCCTGTCAGAATATGACTGAGATTATTCATTTTGAAAACAACATAACTTTTCATTGCTTTGATTTTTAAAACATGAACAGAAGTAATACTGGCAAGAGTTGCCATTTCTTGCAGTGTTAATGTGTGCAAGGCTTTGTGCTAAATGGAAAAGAAGTCTTATTTAATCCTTATGGAGTGGGCTTTGACCCATGTTGGCCCCAAGAATGACATGTTGCCTCTTCTAGTCCTATTTTTGTGATCACTGGTATGTTTGAGTCTATTGTTGTGATTATTGTATAGTGCCTTCCAACCCAGGGGATTCTTCCTCCAGCACTGTATCAGACAGTATTCTAGCAGAATCCATCTGGTGTTCATTTGCTAATTTCAGAAGGAGATCAACAAATCGTAGTCTTAGTCTAAAAATTCCTCTAAAACCTGTCCACCAAGGGTGGCCCTGCTGGTATTGGATATACTGCTGGCATAACTTCCAGCATCACACCAATACACAAACCACCATAGTATGACAGACTTGCACGCAAGGGAGTAGAGGCACTCAGCATCATCATCCCCATTTTATAATTGAAGAGAAACATCTCTATCGGTACATTTATATCTAAATACACATTTGAAAAAATAGTATTGTCTTAGAGCAATGGAGTCTCTGACCCTTAGGGTTCTGAGAATTTCTGGGGTCTGAGTTTAAAACTATTCTTGTTATTATGAATTCAACCTTCGGATACACATTTTAAAAAATAGTGTGAGATGAAATGGGTCATATGCACAAAACGTCTCTGTATCTGGAGAAATTTGGAAGACAGCTGGCTACCTGGCAAACAGGAAGAGATCTATATTTGTGCCCATTCCAAAGAAAGGTGATCCAACATAAAGCGAAAATCATTGAACTAGATAATTAATATTGTACGTGTTCAATTTTGCCAAAAATCATTTTAAAATGGTTGAAGCAGTACATTGATAGGAAAGTAGCAGAAATTCGAGTTGTGATCAGAAGATGTGAGACAAGGGATATAATTGTTGATGTCAGGTGAAAGCAAAGAATGCCAGAAAGACATTTACTTCTGTTTTACTGATTATGCAAAGGAACTTATGTGGATGATAGCAAGTTGTAGATAACATTGTAAAGATTGAGGAGACCAAAAGACTTAGTTAGGTTCGTGTAATAGCTGCACATAGACCAGGAGGCAGACTTGCAAACAGAACAAGAGGACATTGCATGGTTTAAAATTAGGAAAGGTTGTATCCTCTCACCATAAGTATTCCATCTGTATGCTGAGCAAATAATCCAAGAAACGAACTATATGAAGATGAGTATGGCAACAGGATTGGAGGAAGACTTATGGATAGCCTTTGACAGGTTAAATGACACAACCTTGCTAAAAATGAAGAGGATTTGAAGCACTAACTGAGAACTACAGCTTTCAATATGGATTACATCTCAACATAGAACCAAAATCTTTAGTGTCTTAAACTCAGCTGCCATCCAGTCAATGCTGACTCATAGTGACCCTATAGGACAGGCTAGAACTATCCCTGTGAGTTTCTGAATTGTTACTGTTGACAGGAGAAGAAAATTCCGTCTTTGTCTCTCAGAACAACTGGCTGGTGGTTTGAAACTACTGACCTTGCAGATGGCAGCCCAACTCATAATCACTGTGCCACCAGGGCTTCTCTTAATGTCTCAAAACAGCACACATTTACCATCACAAGGCTTCTGTGGGTCAGAACTCAAGGCGTGACTTAGCTGAGACCTGGTTCAGGCTCTCATGGGGCCAGCAAGGTATATCAGCAAAAAGCGCAGTTTTCATTTGAGGCTTGCCCAGGAAGCTATTTGTGGGTTGTCAGAATGTGTGCCTTGGTTTGGTTTCTTGCTGTGAGCTGAAGGCTACCCTCAATTCCTTGCCACGTGGGTCTGCCTAACTAACAAACCTTGTTGCTTCCTCAAATCCAGCAAAGTAGAGTTGTCAGCTAGGTACTTACTGATCAAAGACAGATGCCAACTCTAAAGAAAACAAAAATCCTCACTACTGAACCATTAGACAATATCATGATAAAAGCAAAGATTGCTGTTAACAAGGATTTCATTTTATTTGGATCCACAATCAAGGCTTATGGAAGCAGCGGTCAAGAAATCAAACTGCACACTGGGCAAATCTGGTGCAAAAGATCTCTTTAAAGTGTTAAAGAACAAGGATGTCGGTTGGAGGACTCAGGTGCTCCTGACCCAAGCCATGTTGTTTTAAATAGCCTCTTAGCATATGAAAGCTGAACAATGAATAAGAAAGACCAGAGAAGAACTGGTGCATTTAAGTGAGGGTGCAGGCAAAGAGTATTGAAAGTACTCTGGACTGTCAGAGAATGAACAAATCAAATCTTCAAGAAATACAGCCAGAATGCACTTTGAAGTTGAGGATAGCCAGACTGTATCATGTCCTCTGGACATGCTTGGTAAAGTTAGAGGGTCAACAAAAAAGAAGACACTCAACAAGATGGATCGACACATTAGCTCCAACAGTAGGCTGAAGTATAACCTGTTGTGAGGATGACACTGGAAGGGAACCACTGCCTGGTCCAGTGTCACCCTCATAATATGTTATACTGCAAGTCATCACCAACTCAACAGCACCTAACAGCAAAAGTGGGTCCATTCCTAATTGATTTACAGTGGGTCTATATTTTAGCTTGAGAAAATCACAGATTAATAATGGACTCATCATGGCTATCTTTATAGTACTGACGCAGCTAAATTTACCTTTATAAAAGTTTATGAAAGAAGATAATTATAAATACATTGAATAAACACACCATTTTTCCTTTGAAACATTTTATAGGATTGTTCTAATGATTCGTCACAAGCTGATTCATATCATTCTTCACTGTTACTATATGACTTGACCCAGGAGACACCACCACAGAACCAAGTGGTACAAATACCTCCAAAAGGTTTGTTTTCGCCCCTTTTCAGAAAAATCACAAAATGAAATGTCATGGCTGTGCATATGAAATTGACTTTATTTTGAAGCCCATACCTTGATGTTACATTTTTCATATGTTATAAAATGGAATGGAGCAAATAGTTTTTTAATACCTTTGCTGAGTAATTTTATTTAATATCTTACACAAGATTAGAATCTTTAATTTCTATTAAGTTGACTAACTTGTATGAGGGGCTTCAGAAAGTTTGTAGGAAAATTCCATTATTTTGTAGTTCCATTCTTTTTTAATCATTTTTTGGGGGGCTCTTACATCTCATCACAATCCATCCATCCATTGTGTCAAGCACATTTGTACATTTGTTGCCATCATTCTCAAAACATTTTCTTTCTACTTGAGCCCTTGGTATCAGCTCCTCATTTTTCCCCGCCGTCCACTCCCCCCTCCCTCACGAGCCCTTGATAATTTATAAATTATTATTATTTTGTCATGTCTTACACTGTCCGACATCTCCTTTCACCCACTTTTCTATCCAGAATTTTTTTTGAGCTCAGAACTCTAACCAGGAACCAAAATCTTAGTATAATTTTTGAGAATTAAGAAAGTTCCTTAATGGTCTAGTAAAGTTTAGTTTCAGTTTTTAGTTAAAAATTTAGAAGGTCATTACTGTTGAAAAAAGTCAAATAGTGACTGTCTTAATAGGCTTAATAAGGCGTTCTATCCAAATTATGAAGATAGGATAATTATGTATATATATTATCTATATAAAATGGCAGTCCTAAAGAAATACTGGTGTGCATATGGGAAATACTACCCTGTTTCCCCGAAACTAAGACAGTGTCTTTTATTAATTTTTGCTCCCAAAGATGCGCCAAGTCTTATTTTCAGGGGATGTCTTATTTTTCCATGATGAGGAATACGGTACACATTTATTGTTTATTGTTTTATTAAAAGAGACCTCGCACTTCCTGTCTGCTCTGGCTGCACTGTGGCCAACAGTGAGCTGCATGGCGGTGCCCGCCGCTACTGTCCAAAGTCCAGAGTTACAGTAGCTGGTGTGGGGGGGGGCGGACTTACATTCGGGGAAACGGGGTAAGTAAATGTCCACTGAAGTATTGATGAAATTTTCTAATTCAGTACATAAATTTAACTGTTAAATCATTAGAAAACAAACCAAAAAAACTCATGCAATAGAAGTGCCAAGAATGTTTTCCTGTTTTGATGATAATTGGTTTGGTGTTTAAACTACAAGCCACTTAGCTAGTTAATGAAATAGCCAAGAACCAAAAGAAACAGGGAAGTAAAATAGTTGTCTCATTTTATAAAGTACATGGATTTTATTAAAGTTGAATTGTTGCAACTTGTAGATAGCACAGACAATAGCCCCTACTCTCCTTTTCAAACAGTAAGCAGGATTATACACTTGTGAACAAAGACCAGGTCATTATGTGAAAATTGGCTTGAAGGGAAAATGGAGGTTGCCCACCTCAGATCACAAACCAGATGATGACTTAATTCATTACATGGTTGCTGAATTACATAATCACATAACTGCCAAACCATTGAGCATCGAGGCCCAGTCAAGTTGACACATTTCAGCTATCACAGTCAGTGTAACTTGCCCCTCAGCATTTGTTATTGCCAGACATACGTCATTAATGTGTAAAATAGTCAGTTTTTCATTTGTTTATTTGGTTTTTTACTAGTACCATGTGTATGAAATGTCAGATATAATGAGGAGGAGGTATGGTTATGAATTGTCTTACTTGCTGAACCTCAATTTTATCATATTATTGTGTCTCTTAAAAGAATTAGTACCAGACTAGTCGCAAGAAGTTGGAGGTTGATGAAATCACAAATGTCCAACTCTTCCCTTTGAGTATGTCCTCTCATGTTTCTGGGTTCTGTGAATCGCTAGAATACCCACACAGAAACTCATGAAAGTATAAAGAAACGTCTCCCATGGTGGTAGGTGCTGTTTAGTCCAAAATCCGAAGGTCAGACAGGGGGAAGCCAGCTGCTGAATCCAAAGGACAAGCTCCACTCCAGGCTCTTGCTGGTAATGAGATCATACTTCCTGCTTCTCTGAGGGCTCATTTTATAAACAGCAGGATGGCATTGCAGAGAATACTGTTCTCAATTACTTACAGGTAAATCCTATCAGTATCTTCCCCCACCTTCTTACCAGACCATTCAGGGAAAGGTGGTTTGGTATCAGTAATGCATTCAAATTAACATATAACCTTTCACTTTTTTAACGTTACTCAAATATGAAAATCTATTCTACACCCTTGAACTGTATCTTATTTATGCACATTTGACCTGAGGTCCCAGGCATTTTGCCCAGGCCACACCAGAAGCAGTGTTTTTCCTCTTAGCTGTAGCATATAAGGTCAGACCTTAATCTCATCCTGTTCCTGTTCATTAACTCATAATGCTTTTTGAAATGGGAATATAACAATAGATGTATGTAGTCCACAATTATAATCTATCTCGTAAATGATTATGACTGGAAGGGCCATTTTAACTGATTACAATTCAATTATTAAAATTGACCCCCCACACACAAATAATGTATTCATTCTGCAGACCTGAAATCAGCCATTTGGATATATGATTTTAATTCTCAACTCTGTATATCTTAAAATTTTTAATACTAAACACTTAATGTATCTGAAAGTTTCTTTAATGTTTCTAATGCATCGATAGGTGCACTGTACAGTAAGATTAACTTTTGACAGATTGATGTTAGATACCATACAAATCCCATTAAAGACAGACTTGTGAATGGAATGCATATGTAATTTGGGGATTGCCTATATAAGCTTTCAATGACTTAATAATAAACAGCCAATGGAATGATAATTGTGGATGATAATATGCGCTGTGTGTTCAGAAGCATTGATTTCCTCCTGAGCATGGAGTCCTGGTGGCACACAGATTAGGTGTTGAGATGCTAATAAGATTTGTGGTCCATACCCACCAGCTGCTGTTTAAGAGGAACATGAAGAAGATATTTGCTCCTGTAAAGATTAACAGTCTCAGAAACCATATGTAGGGTTGCTAGAAGTTGGAATTGACTCATTCGATTTTATTGGCCAAAAAATGAGAACTATTGAGAGTAGGGAATAGTAGATGCCAAAGGCAGCAGAGATAAAGGGTCAGAATTAAAAACTTTTAAATTTAGCCTATTTTATTGTGAATATTTCTTCATGCTTAAAACAGTGCCTAGTGAAATCATCTAGTTTTACTCTCCATTTTATTTTGTCAATTGCCTAGTTCAAAATATTGGTTGTTCAAGTAACTTAAGCGTTTTAGTAGAACATTAATGTGATGACACAAAATAATTCAGAGTACCTGCAGCATGTCATTACTGTTGTTAGATGCCATTGAATTGGTTCTGATTCATAGCAACCCTATTTTCAAGAGAATAAAATATTACCTGGTCCTGATCCATCCTCACAATTTTACCTATGTTTGAGTCTATTATAATTGCAGCTATGGTGTCAGTTCATCTCATTGAGAATCTTTGTCTTTTTCCCTGACTCTGCTTTACCATGAATGATGTCTTTCTCCAAGGGACTCATCTCTTTTGATAACATACCCAAAGTTGGTAAGACAAAGTCTTGTTATCCTCACTTCTAGGGAGTATACCAGCTGTACTTCTTCCCAGAAAGATTTGTTCATTGTTATGGTAAAGCATAATCTTGAACACCATAACTCAAATGCATCAATATGTCTTTGGCCTTCCTTGTTCATTTTCCAGCTTTGTATAAAATGGAAAGTACCTTAGTACCAGGTACACCTTAGTCTTCAAAGTGACAACTTTGCTTTAGATGCTTTAAAGATATATTTTGCAGATTCACCCAAGCAACATATCTTTTGACATTTTGACTGCTTCTTCCATGGGCGTAGATATACATAAAATTAAATCCTTGACAGATTCAATCCTTTTCTCACATTTTATGAGTCTCTAAATATGAAAGTAGTTTGCTGGGTCTTGTGAAAAGATTTCTCCTTTTCCAACATCTGTGGACCTGGCACTTCTTGGAGATACCTGTGTCATTTTTCCCTGCGTCAAGGAGATTCTTAGCACAGGGACTGTGGGTCCAAAGGACACTCTGCTCCTGGCTTTCTTGGTCCTCTCTGGTTGCTTTTCTTTCCTTTTATGTCTTGTAAATCAAAAGATGTGACTCAAGCAAGGCTATGACTTGAATATTTGAGTAAGGATTATGACTTCAGACACACCCCACACATTACATATTTTAAAAAGCCCAAACCAAACTCACTACTATCCATTCAATTCTGAATCATAGCAACCCTTTCATATTGGGTAGAACTGCCCCTGTGGGTTTCTGAGGCTGTAGACCTTTAGTGGAGCAAGAGGCCTTACCTTTCTTTGGAGGAGCAGATGGTGGTTAGCAGCCCAATACATAGCCCACTATACCATTAAAGCTCCATATATTAACATAAAGGTTAGGATTTATGGCAAATAACAAAATTGAGGAGAATCACTAAATATTGGGAATCATGGCCTAGCCAAATGGGCACGTATTTCTTGGGGGGGGGGGGCACAATTCAATCCCTGTCGATAACAGTACAAACAAGCCCTTGAGCTAATTCTGCATCATAGTTATCCACATGTGCTTCAGAGCAGAACTGTATTCTTTTTTTTTCATATGGAAAGTGCATTTAACTTTATGCACACTTTTCAGAACTGCATTCTTTAGTGTTCTCAGTGACTACACTCTTACAGAATGAGACCCTGAGTATTGCAGGTGGCTAAACAACCAGTAGGTTGACTATAATTTAAACCCGCCCAGAGACACCTCAGAACAAAGGCCTGGTGATCCACCTCCATAATAGAGCATCAGAAACCTGTTGGGATCTTAGGGAGATTCCCAGGCCTTTCTTTAGTGGCACTACGGGGTGGACTCAAAACCATTGACACCCCCCAGGTTTAGTATTATCTAGTAGCCATAATAACTCCCATATGTGCCAAGTGCTGTGTTGGGTATTTGAAGTACATTATCTTATTTGAGCCTTAAAAGTGTCCTTTAGAGGAAAATATCACTCTTATTTACAAATCACGAAATCAAGACTCAGAGAAGTTTAATAGGCCAAAAAGATACACAGCTATTGAGTAACAGAGTCTTGATTTGAATTGACCTCTGGCTTGGAGGTCTGGAATATTTCTAGAATGTCTATTTGCTAGATTTCCCCATTAGTGTGTAGTTGAGAACATCAAAATGAGATGTGCCCTTTAGAATCTTTATTATAAATTATTTTCAGAAAGGACTTTTTACCTTCTCTGGTTAAATAGCTTCAGTAGCCCCATTTCTCTTGCTAATGCTTAGTTAAGTCATCCGGGAGCCTTTGATGTGACAATTTTCAAACTTGGAGTGATTTTTAGCAATGAAATATCTTATGCAAAGTTTAATGTAAAAGTCTAATAAATATAAAAGGAGAGCTATACTCTCTGGATTGCCCCATTATATGCTCTAAGTTGAGCCCATTAGGCTCTGGGGAGCATGGCTTGAAAGTCATTTTGCTAACTACTTGCCTTTCTATATGACAGTGTGAGGTGCCGTTCAAGACAAGTCCTACTTTTTACATAGGGAACCAACACATGATTTCATCTAAAACCATGAGAAGATTATTTGCCAATTTATTAGGTGGAAAAAGTGTTGACTTCTAAGTTTTTCACTAGAAATATTAAATTGTTATATAAAAAGCCTATTACAGGGTCTCTAATTTTTAGAATAAATAAAAATTGCTTTGTTTTCCTTTGTGAACTCAAGCCTCTCTAGATGATTTGCTTATATGAATTTAGTTCAGTGTGTTTTCTGTGCTTTAACTGTGGGAGGGGGTGACACTTCGGATTTCAGGTTCTGGTGTTTATTATAGCTGTTCATATATTTTTTTATTTGAAACATTTATAATTTCTTGCATAAAAAGTATTTAGTGAATGGCTTAAAAATATGTAGTTGGTAATAACTGTACAATTCATTTCTTTCCACCCCTTTACTGTATAATTTTTTATCATTCTTTATTGTTTATGTGATAGGAGAATTCAATGCTATTCCATTTCATTTCACTCCAAGGAATTTTTACTGTAATTTTAATTTGGGACCATTTTAATAGCAGTTGTGCGCAATATTCTGTAATAAAGCATTTACAAGTTTTCTTTCACTTTAAATTACTGTAGATGCAGATCAGAGTTTGTCTTCATTAAAACGTCCTTCTAGTTCTGAAGTAAACAGTGTTAATTTAAAAAAGCCAAAGACCAGCACAAGTGTGTCTCACACACGTACCTCATCTTCGGCGACATCCTCCCAGGCTGAACTGTCACAAGGTAAATATGAAATCCAGCCTATGAAAGAGAAATAAATCTGTATGTACATTTGAGGAATCATGGTGGTCAATTCTGCAAATATTCTTAACAGTTCTTTTAGGTTTTAAAGATATATTTAATTGGTTTTAGGTTCAAATACCTCAGCAAGTCCCAATGAAACTGGAACATCTCAAAGAACTTGTCCAACATGTAATGCTAAATTCAATCTTTTGGATCCTTTTAAATATCACATGAAGGTAAGACTTTTAAAAAACTTATTTTTAAAACTGTTCATCAGATACTGATAGACAGTGAGTACTGGCTTGTATAGATGTGTAGATCAGAAATTTTTGCCTGTAGATATTTCTATAGAAGTAAAAACGTGTATATTCACATCTGTAAAGGATTTGGAACGTCTTCCTAATTGTTACATTATCAACTATCAAATTTTATAGATTAAGATCATATACGCTACATCATGCCCTTCTTATAGCTTCCTATATTTATTATGTGTTTAATTTTACTAGATGCTTAAGCTTTTCTTTGAAATCCCCATTATTTAGTCCCCAGGGTAACGTGCATCACATCTTTGACTTTTTATAATTAAAATGTTAAAAGTTTTACTTTTTACCATATAGAAACGTGTATAAGCCGAATTTCAGCACATTTTTTATGCAGTTTTTGTGGTAAAATTAGGTGCCTCGGCTGATACTCAGGTCGGTTTATACTCAAGTATATATGGTAATCTAGTTGTGTGGTTTTGAAATTCATTCTCTCTCTACACCGGTTGAAGAAGCTCTAGAATTTAGATTGTAGATACTTGTCAGAATACTGGTGAGGTATGTGGCTTAAGCAATACTCAAAATATGTTAGTAGATATTTGAAGGTCCTCTTGTGCTGTTACAAAAGTTGTCTGTATTGTTACATGCCCAGCATAAATGGCAGGAAGGTAGGCAGGAGCCATAAAGACAGGGTAGCTTATAAGAGCAAAGGATGAGATGAGTGCAAACCAAAGAACTTGGAAGTGTCATTGCTCACTGTTTAAAGATAGGCACATTTTGATTAAAATGCAAGATTTTGTGTAACCACCCCCCAAATAAAAGGATATGTAGGGAGTGTCCTAAAAATCCCCAAATGTCATCTCTATTTTCTTGAACCACACTGTACTTGATCTATCACTACTACCTCCCAGAGGAGCTTCTCAAAACTCGACTTTGTGATTTGGTTTCAGGGAAGAAGTATTCTTTCTAAAACACTTTTAGTTTGCCTGTCTATATAATGTTATCATTAGATACTTAGTGTTTTGTTAACTTTCTGAATAGATAACTTGCTTCAAAAATAAAAAGTCTTAAGGAGGTACACAGTGAAACTTTTCACTCTTCTGCCTGCCTAGTTTCTGGAATTAAAAAAAATACATTGTTTCCCATCTGATTTGTACACAAACCATAGCATACTATATGTACAGTGAACCCTCGTTTATCGCGGTTAATTGGTTCTAGACCCTACCGTGATAAATGAAATTCCGCGAAGTAGGATTCCTTATTTGTAAATCAAATATTTTCGTAGTTAGAGCATACAGGACATGAAAAAACACCCTTTAGTCACCCTTACACTCGTATTACCCAATTTATTAAACGAAAAAGGGAAAATACAGTAAAACATTTTGGACGCTACAATTACCATTTATTATTTATTATTTATGGCATCAAGCGTGTACAGTATGAGCCAATCAGTGGCAGTAATGACAGAGCATGCGTTGTTACGCAAAAACCACGATAGAGTGAAGCCGCGGATGTCAAAGCACGAAGTGGTGAGGGTTCACTGTATACATATGAGGAAGAGGCAACCATCTTATAAAATGTGGCTTTTAAAATTTTCTTGTAGCATTGTTTGTGTATAAGCTGATAGGGAGAATTTCTGGCTTGTATAACAATTTATTGATCAGGACCAAGTGTCAGAGCTGTAAAATATTATGGCGTTAATCCCTGGAAGATTCTTTAAGATTGACATTTTTCTCATTATCTTAACAGCAAATTTCATTTATTTTATTTTATTGGGGGCTCATACAACTCTTAACAGAACTCATACATACATTCGTTGTATCGAGCACATTTGTACATTTGTTGCCATCATTATTTTAAAAATATTTTCTTTCTACTTGAGCCCTTGGTATCAGCAAATCATTTTCCCCCTCCCTCTTCCCTACTTCCCTCATGAACCCTTGATAATTTATAAATTATTGTTTTTTTCATGTCTTACACTGACCAATGTTTCCCTTCACCCACTTTTCTGATGGCCGTCCCCCTGGGAGGGGGTTATATGTAGATCATTGTGATCGGTTCCCCCTTTCTCCCCCAACCTTCCCCTTCACCTCCTGGTATCACTAATCTCAATGTTGGTCCTGAGAAGTTTATCTGTCCCAGATTCCCTGTGTTTCCAGCTCTTACCTGGAAACATATGCATGCTCTTGTTTAATTGGATTTGTAAAGTAGAACTGGTGTCATGATAGTGGGTGGGGGGAAGCATTAAAGAACTAGAGGAAAGTTGTATGTTTCATTGGTGCTGTACTGCACCCTGACTGGCTGTCTCTTCCTTGTGATCCTTCTGTAAGGGGATGGTCTTCAGATGGGCTTTGGGTCTCCACTCTGCACTCCCTCATTCACAATGATAAGTTTTTTTGTTTTGGTCTTTGATGCCTGATTCCTCATCCCATCAACATGACACTTCATGATCACATAGGCTGTTGTGCTGCTTCCATGTGGAATTTGTTGCTTCTCTGCTAGATGGCCACTTGTTTATCTTAAAGCCTTTGAGACCCCAGATGCTATATCTTTTGACAGCTGAGCACCATCAGCTTTCTTCAGCACATTTGCTTAGGCACCCATTTTGTCTTCAGCGATCCTGTTGAGGTGAGCATCATGGAATGCCAGGTTATTAGAACAAAGTGTTCTTGCATTGAGGGAGTACTTGAGGAGAGACCCAATGTCTGTCTGCTACCTTAATACTTAACATATACATATATGTACATAGATATATTTCCTTATCATTAGATATAAATATATTTATGTACATGCCTGTATTTAGACGTCTATAAATTCCCTTTGCCTCCTACTTCTTTCTTCTATTTCCTTTTCGTCATTCAGGTTTCATTAATGCTTTTCAGTTTCATTGCCCTTGAATAAGCCCCACCAGGCATCCTCACTACGGAGTTTAGATCACTTATTGTTCCCTTGTCCCTGGGTTTGTTAACACCCACTTCCTTTCCCCTGCCTCCCCCTCTCTTTTGCCTTCCCCCACCCAAACATTGGTCCCGTTGTTTTCTTCGGATTGTTTATCCTGCCTATCTTATCTAGATAGACATGCAGAGGCAATAATAAGCAAACAACTGCAACAACAAAAAAAGAAAAAACCTAGAAATGGTTTCAGGTATGTTTGTTGACCTTTAGGAGTGTTTTCCAGTTGAGTCTGATGGGGTGCCACGCTCTGGCCCCAAAGTCTATTTTTGGTATTCCCTGGGGACTTAATTGCTTTGCTCCCCTTGCTGTTCTGTTGCATACCCTTGACATTTGGCTCTGGTGTAGTGGGGTCAGATTGGGCACAATTCCCACACTGTGCCTCCTGTGTTATCCCTCAAAGTGCTATGGGTCAGTGAGGTATGCCGTGTCTCGTGGTGGGGCCAGCCCTATGGTCCTCTGTGCATTGGTTGCTCTGAACAGGAATATTGTCCTCGGGGCTTGGAGGGCCAGGATGTGCTCCACTCTCTCTCCTTCCCTGTTCGTTTGCTCCTGTGTGCTCTGATCAGACATGTCCCTCTCCTTGAACTGTAGCTTCAGTGCTGTCCTCTGAAGTGAATTCTGGGGGGAGGAGGAGTGTCCACTTAGCTGGCATTGGGGCTGACCCCGCAGACCTCTCTATTGCTTCTCTGTTTCACTCTGGTATGTTGCATTCTCATCTTGGTACACCCAGTTTAACAGAAAATTTCAATCTCTGGTGGTAAAGCCCAGTTTCTCACAAATACTATGTGTTTTTTTATCATTCACAAAAATGCCTGGATTATTTTCTTGAATTTTACCTGGCATTTTGGTTCCTTATTTTGTTTAGAGTATGAATTTGATTACCAATCAGATTTAATTTATAATTAGGTGGTTTAAATTTCTATATTTTCACGTATGTTTTGTCTATTCAGTCTCATGGTTGGAGAAAGGTGATTCTAAGTCTACTAGTATTTTCTCTGATGTTTTCCAATCTGTCTTATGGCTGTTGCTATTATTTGGGATGTTTATTATAGTTCCAACACTTAGAAGACTTCATAAAGAACACACTCTTTAGTGTTTTTGTAGAGTGTGTCTATTTTTTTCACTTCATGTTTAGTACATTTTAGCCTGGATTCTACTTTGATAGCAGGCTCACAACCCTTGCTTATTTTAAAGCTTTTTATGGTGATGTAGGTGAAAGTTTATAGGACAAATTGGTATTCCACTCAATAATTTAGACACATTGTTTTGTGCCATTGATTGCAATCCTACTTCTTCCCTGTGTTTACCCTTCCCTTCCTCCGTCCTTCCCACCCATTCCTGCCTTCTGAGTTGCGTCCCTGCACAAATGCTATCCTTTGGATCTGATGTGATTGGTTATTCTAAGGAGTATGTACTTCCCTGGTATTATTGTTCAATTTGTAGGCCTATCTATTTTTTTTTCTTTTTTAACATTTTATTAGGGGCTCATTCAACTGTTATCCCAATCCATACACACATCAATTGTGTAAAGCGCATTTGTACATCGTTTCTCAAAACATTTTCTCTCC